TCACAAACTGTTCAATGGGTTCCAAGGCTTGGTGAAGATTTTTAAATTTCACCGTCGTATCCCCTTAAGGTCAGACCCAATTATTTACAATTATTTTTTTTATTTCTCCCCCCCCCCCCTCATTACGCATATGACCCATTTTACATCGTAAGAGAATCCGTTTCGTTGGTTCCTCCTGAAAACACTGCCATCGTTTTCACATTATTTTTCACAGTATTTTCACAGAGGGGCTATAGTAAGGGTTAATTCTCCGAGATCGAATTTCACGTGATTATCAAGATGTCATGATTTCAATAATCCACATCATCTGTCCTGGATGGAAAAACCGAGCTATCGCTATTCTTATTTCCGTCATACTATCCATAATTCCCCACACCTGTATTATGTACTGATATGATCGGCCTCTAGCTTATTGTTCCTCCCTACAAAAGATAAATCAATGAGAACTGAACACATACCGCATATTAGATTCTATTTACATCAACAAATAAAATGCTCTCGCATCGATCAATCAATGAAAAAAGCCAACAGCAATCAACAGGAATCTAAAACCATTCGCTTTCTCTCCCTTGTAACACGAGGTTTAAACCCGTCATATTGTGAGAACCTTCTGTTATCGGGGATTTATCCCGAGAGGTCGTAAAAGACAGCCCCACGTCGCCACGCGTCTCATGTAACGAAGGGTACGTCGAACCTCCATATAACCCAAGTTTCTCCGGTCATAAGAAATACCACAGGGCAGACAAAACAGTCACAAAGACCCGAAAATTCGTAGGAATCGTCTCAAGTGGTCCAGGGTCAAGGCGGTGACAGTTCAAAGCCACACGCGACCTATGTCAACAGATTTATGGATTCTCCGGGGAGAAAAGTTGGGTAAAAATTATCCAGAAAGTCGTGGAGTGAAAAAATTCTCATATTTTTAAATATATCAGTAGCGAATGGTTCAAGTCGACTCATCTCCCAGTTGAGTTTTCGAGGAATATTTCCGAATCTAAGGGAGATAGCGAAATTTTCGTAATTACATTTGTTGTAGCACTCGATCGGCTTCACAAAAAAGGTTATAACAAAAATTTTGCTATCTCCCTTAGATTCCGAGATATTGATTGAAAACTGGTCAATAGTGAAAATTGACTTGTACCGTTTTACCACTTTGCTACTGATATTTACTTGAGACAAGTAATTTTCCTTCAATTCAAATCGCAATCCTTCGAAATCCTTCGCAATCCCACAAAATCCTTCGAAAATTCCGGGCATTCCAAGACCTTTAAAGGAATTTCCTTAAAATTCAAGGGAAATTGACAAGTGAATATTCATTTTCACTTGGAAATTTACACAAATTGTGGAATTTCCGTCATCTTGCGGCTAAAAAATTGAGGCTTTACTTGAATTTTCAAAGAAACTTGAAATTCCTTTCATTTTTTCCCTTCATATCAAGGATTTCAGGGTCTTTTTCCGTAAATTTAGCCAAATTTGATCAACAGTGCTCTTTTCTCCTTGCACAGAACAATCTTATCGCTAATTATACAAAATTGAACAATTTAACTTGTTCAATTGATTATGAACGATAAATACGTAGACAGAATGTGAAGTAACCGCTGATACTAGCCAACGATTATACGATTATACCACCCTCTCCGGATGTGAGGGTTTCAACGTCATAATGAGCGGTACGCGTGATAGGTTATTAAAACGCCACTGCTCGATGGCTCGAAATGCAAACCTCGTAAAACAAGGCTTTAGAACCCCTCATATTCCCGTAATAATCACTCTTTCACATCCATACCCCCACTAAAAGCCCTTTCTCCCTTGTTATTTCGTCTGGAGTATGTTTAGTTCCAAGGCCAGACGATAAATGCAGATTTCTTCATCATTTTCAATCCCCCAAATTTAATAATTGCGCCCACTGCACTGGTAGAAAAGAATTGAAATTTCATGAACAGTTTGGCAATAATTTTCAGGCGAATAACATTGAATTTAAATTAGATTTAGGGGGAATTAAATCGTGAAGTTTCAGATTTCGCTGATTATTTCCTCCATTCTGATTTCGGCCAATCAGAGTGCTGTATTCGGGGTCACGTGACTCCTCCACATCAGTTTTATTGCGATCATTGAAAGGAGATTGCGGAATTCTATGAACGACACAATTCCTTGAAATTTCATTGAAACCATAACATAATAAATTTTTTAAAGAAGTTTACTGGAAGTTTCACAAACTTTCAACAGTGTGATTTACCCTGAACTAGAAGTTTTCCACAAAATATGAAAGAAGTAAATCCGAAAATCCATAAATTCGTCCGGAAACAGTAAAAATCCTTATAGTTTTTGCACTTAATGTAATTCTACAAGTCAATGACATTTCCCTGAACATTTTCCCTGACAAAATCATTTTGTTCTCTCTGAGCGACGAAATTCCTTGAAATTTCATTGAAACCATAACACAATAAAACTTTTCAATAAATTTACTGGGAATTTCACAAACTTTCAGAGGCATGATTTTCCCTGAACTATAAGTTTTCCACAAAATATGAAAGAAGTATTCAGAAATCCATAAATTCGTATAGCAACAGTAAAAAAATTCTTACAGAAATCAGTGACATGTCCCTGAAAATCAATCTTTTTTCCCTCTGAACGACGAAATTGCCGGAAATTTCCTTCAATCCGTAACCCAATAAAACTTTCCAATGAGTAACCTATAAATTTCCAAAACTTTAAACAGCATGATTTACCCTGAACTCCAAGTTTTCCACAAAATATGAAAGAAGTAAATCCGGAAATCCATAAATTCGTCCGGCAACAGTAAAAATCGTTATACTACTGACTGGTGATACTAAAACAAGTATATCTACACATGTGCAGTGGGAAAAGAAAACGAGAGAAAACTATTTCACGAGAAACCGAGCAAAATAACGATAACTTTTTAAAACGTGCGGGCCGCTCGTAAAAGCACCAAGCCCAGAAGAGAAGGGAGTGAGAAAGAGAGATTATGCACTTTATGTGAATGAGTGAGTGAGCTCCTAGGTTTTGGCTTTGGTTATAAGTCCGTATTATATTAGCCGGGTACGAATGGCCCAGCAACCAATAGGAACGATCGTAAAATTCACAGGGGAACTCGACATTCAGCCGTGACTGTCAAGTGAAAGAGTCGCTTGGATTTTTCAACGAGCAGTTGCGCCCGAATTTTGAAATATTATGTGCAACAACTTGGGGCATTTATTCAACAAACTCATCGATAATTATCGCATCATTGTCGCGGGATATTCTACGATAAATAATTGAGAACTAATGAGTGAATTTTCTGCAATATTTTTTTACTAAACTCTCGATCCGGTTAATGTCGCATTAAAGATTATTCAAGACAGGAGGACGGTTGTCTGTTAACTACGTTATAAAGTATATCTGAGGAATCCAGGGTGATACGTTGTTTCAGTTGACTCGATAATTTTTCGTAGCTCAATGTTGGTCTTTGTTCGGCCGAGTCGAGCAAGGAGGTCTCCACTATCGTCAGTGTATTATTTATTCCCCTAATTATTGTGACGTTATTATCTAGCGTCTTGAGAATATCGTTTGTGTTCTCGGTTTTCACTCGGTGGTGATGAAAAAACCTAACCGCGGGCACACGGGCACATTGTACTCTCTCTCTGTTTATCTTGGAGGGTCTTCTTTTGTCATTCATTCCGCAGAATGGCACAACGGACGGCATTCAGTCATTAAGTTTAAGGTGAATGTTATTGAGATGAGAATGGAATTATGTGAATTTGGGAATTTGGGGAAACGGGGGAGAATTGATTGCAATCCTGTAGTTTGTAGTAAATAAATATGTCTTCTGACGTAAGCAATTTGCTCCTCGTTTTCCCCTAAATAGATTCCAATGTAACATTCCGGAAAATTAGTGGTCAATTGTCCAAGAAATATTCATTGACTGACGGAAAAAATTTATTTTATTAAGAGAATTTTATTTGAACCAACTATCATTTAGTTATTAATTTTCAAATAAACATGATTTCATAGAGAATACCAGTTATCTCTTCTTGAGATACATTTGATTGGGAGAAATCGAACTTCTCTAGAATTGCAGCTCCTTTTATTTGTCGCAATAATGAGAGTATTTGATTTCTTTCTAGCCAAAAGTTTGCCAACTCCAGAAATTCGTTGGTTTACTCAAAAATCAAAATTATTCTCATGACTAAATACGTTGTTATCTCAATCAACACGATCATACGTTGTTCCAAGTAAATTATTATTGAAGTGAGCATTTCGTATGTCGAATCAGGATGAATATTGTTACGCGGAAAAAGCTTTGAGATTGTAGTAAGATGTCGTTGAGTTGAAAGAAGTTTATATTTCTTGACTAAAAAAAATCGCATTAGTTTACAATAACAGAATCACAGATTACGGCAATTCAACACAAACTTGGATATCACAAATATCGTTCAATGTGATGTACGGAAAGCTCAATTTAAACATCGGCTTCATTCGAGAAAACAACATTCAATTCATTCCTCAATGTAATCATTCGTACCTAGGGAAAATTTCTCGACTGGAGATTATATTGGGTTAAAAAAAAATAGAACTTTTCCATTCTTGTGGTGAATACATGTGACTCGACGCCAAGGACTGTTTTATTTGATTCAAGTAAATGTATCTCAAGAAGAAATAATTGATATTCACCGTAAGATCTTACTTATTTGAAATTGGTTCAAGTATATAATAATGTAATACTCGTTCCAAGGAAGAAGCATCTCAATAAAAATAATTCATTCCATCAGTGTACCAGACAACATGTCAAAACGCTACCTTTGCTCAAACGTTCGAGGCAAATTTCATCCGCTTCGTATTTAGGGGCGACGCCACAGGTAACTCAAGGAGTTGAGTGTGTTGTATCCCCTAGAGATTGAACTCCAGGAGCAACAGGTAGGCTCGCCACGAAAAAAGTCTCATGCAATATTATAATGAAGCGCAAAATATCAGGTAATAGCTTGAAGTATTAAATTTCGTTATACTTGACTCACAACTCCTCGGTTCAGATAATTGTGTGGCCGAGGGCGAGTGGATGTTGTGGGACGGCGGTAGTTTCCGTGATGGTGGAATAGTGACGATCCCATTGTGTGGGGCTGTGCTACCGTGATTACTGAAGGGTGAATCGGCACTGTTACTGTCACAACTATTCTCTAGACTACGGGCTGGCTGTGGCACTGAGATCAGACGTTCACCATCGAGGCTCATTGGCCGTGGTTCCACCTGCTGGGGAAAATATATTTATCAAGTCAAATTGTTGATAATGACCGTGCTTTTTATTTGTTCCCTCCCCAAATGACATCGTCAGTGCTCTTGGATTAATGGGAAATTAAGTAGAAAATAATCAAGACGATCTGTTGGAGGAAAAACACGATCTACAGGGAGAGAAATATCGTCATAATATCACAAAACTAACTTTTTGCGCCAAAAATTCATGTAAATAATTTTAACGATTAATTGAAACAATTAATAATTAATCATTGATTTTATAATTAGTTGAAAATTGGACATAATTTGGCACTGAATATTAATGTTTTGTTTGAAAATTCAAGTAATTCAATGTGTCCGGTTGCTCAAAAAAATTGAAATTTCACGCAATTTTCAATGAAATGTGAATAAAATTTCATTCTTTTTCAAACAGTGATGCATTACTTTGTTTTTTTTTCTGCAATACGTCTTGATAATTGTCCCCACAAATTTATAATAATATTCATATTGACAAGTGAAATATTTTTTCTCCCCCGAAGGAACAAAGAAAAAATAACCTCATCTGGTCTCCGCACCCTTGTTGTGTCCTGATCCTGCGCCCGCCTCAATGCAGTCTGCAATGCCATCACCCTCTGTCGATCTTTGGTAAGAGTACACTTTCCACAAATGCAGTATCTGTATTTGCAATATCTCTTGTGTCCCTTGAGGGTTATTTTCAGCCCATGATTACGACAGCGTGCACAGTTCGGCGGTGTACGAGGTATGAGGCCAGCATTTTTTAAGACGACCGATTTAGAGTCCGAACTCGCTGGACTTGCCTCATTATCATGATTCATTTTGCTAATTTTTCTAACACCCTAGTTTATGATTTACTGTATTGGTAATTTTATCGCGCTTTGGAGATCACACTTTGAATCACTGGTGATTGTACTTCATCCATCACTTGAGCACTCCGGCATTTTCAGATTGTTTTATCTTTCTGAAAATTAAAAAACAAAATTGAAATCTCCGTGGAAATTTTCATCACATTCGAACTACACTGAACTTTCAAAGAATTTTGTTATTAATCATTCAAAATTTTAGGGAAAAAGCAATGAAAACTCTAGCGTTCAGTTCAATCATTTCATAAAAATTAATGTAAAATATAAAAGTTTAAGTATACATATTATTTAATTTTAATTTAATTGAGAATTCAGCGAATAATCAAGTATATTAGAGAATTCTCATATTTTTCTCCTCAATAATTGGGAATTTCATTGAATTATCGGTAAAAAATGAAATTACGCAATTCCCTTTCTCCCAAAATAAATTCAATTTTTTTTTCTAACAATGTGGATCAATTAGTCAAACAAACGAGTATTGACTGGCTAAATTTTCGACTGATAAAAATAATGTCTTCTAGATTTCATTTAATGTGAAACTTTGTAGAACTACAATAACATTTTTCTCTATTATCTTCAGTTATCACAAAAAGCCTCGGCGGTTATGTTAACATAAACATTCAGTTGATTGGGACTAAAGTAAATGGTAGCTAGCAAAACTTATTAACTTATGAAGTTATCTCTCTGTATTATAAAAATCGAAATCGACTTCTGGTGATGAAAATTTAGTATTCGAAATTAACACTCCAAAATTAAGAGTCACAAGGGTCATGAGGGTTAGAAGAGTTATAAGGGTCACGAGAAGGATCACGAAAGGTAAAAACTTTTCCAGTTTTCACCTTTTCCACATACTTTTGAGAGTTCTGAATAGCCCGTCGCTTAAATAGTTGAAATCAACGTTCAACCGGCTGAAAAATTCGATTTTGGGGAAAGTCGACTTTCCCCCTGGAAAAACGGAAAATCTGCCCCTTTGAAAATCTAAAAAAAAAAAACTTTTTCAGTTTGCACTTTTTCCACATACTTTTGAGAGTCCCGAATAGCCCGTCGCTTAAATAGTTGGAATCAACGTTCACCCGGCTAAAAAATTCGATTTTGGCGAAAGTCGACTTTCCCCCTGAATGTTCTGAATAGCCCTTCTCATCTCCTCACGTAGTGGCGCTTCGGTTTCAGTCTTACGCTTACGCTTATTCGAGATTTTCGAGATATTTCGGGATCGATTTCTTTTCTCCTTTTTACGATAGGACTCGAGCCTTCAGTCATCGCTAAACTACCTGATAAGCCACATTTTCGCATCCAATGTCCCAAATTTGGGCGGTTTTTCGCCTGAATAATTCGGTACAATAAACTTCCGATGACAGATCATCGTTAAATAATTGAAACCACCTGCTGGAAATGTTGAAAAATTCACGAACGCCTGCAGGAAATCGTGAAATAGATGTCTACCTCTACATTATTGATTCCCAAGGAAGTATAACCGCCCATCAATGTAATTTTTTACATGAATCGACAGATAATGAGAAGAGTGAACCTTTCATTGCACAAGTGTGAAAATTGCAGCAATATTATGTGAAAAGTTACATTGTACTACAGTAACACTATAAAATACTGAACATAGTCGATTCTACGAGAGTTGAATCGATAAGTATTGAAGGGTAAAAGCCAGCGGTGAACATCGTTCACCTGTTTATACATTATGGATGACATTCGTAGTTCCTAGCATTTCGTGAACTTTCAAACAACTTAGAGTCTCTAGTTTCAACTCTTTGCGTGATGTAGTCACACCTTGGGAGGGGGATGGGGAGTTTGCATCTGGCAGGCTTCGAAGAAACTTGGACTATAGAAATTCATGTATTGTTGAGAGGTGTGAATACAAGATATCGAGACTATTTTCGATTCTTATAGACAGGAATGGAAATAATTGACGTGCTGAAGAATCAATGCATATGTGGGACGAACGAAGCAAAAGAGTTTCAGAAGTATTAATCTATTTTGTACTTTCTGTGCGTTTGTTATTCTGCTTTTTCCAAGCATTAATGAGTCTAAGTTCGTCTAAGATTTAGTTACTCCTAATGAGATGGGGAGAAAGTGTTTTTGTGGTAATTCTCCATGTTGTAATTTTTTTTCTCGGGAGTTATTAGAGAGTGCGGCTAAATGGACCATTTTCCATCGTAAAATCGGTAAAACGGTTGAAGTTAGTTTTGTCAATTGATCCGTTTTCGATGAATATCTCGGAATCTAAGGCAGATAGCAAAGCTTTTAATATGACCTTCTTTGTAGCTCTCAATTAGTCCTACAAAAAAGGTAATTACGAAAAATTCGCTATCTACCGCAGATTTGGAGATATTCCTCGAGAAGAGATGAGTCAACTTGAATTTTGTTATCGCTTCGCTGGGGAATTTGGTACTTCTTCCCAGTTATTGTTGAAAATTAGTGACAAAATCATTGACCTTCTCAATTATGCACTCACTTATTTCTCGATCCCGAATTTCGGGAATTTAGCGCAGGTAAATTCCTCAAACTCAGTGACATGTGTCTGAGAATCAAAAAATTTGTTTTCCCTGTCTCGACAATTTCATTGAATATTATCAAAATCAGCTGATTTCTCCTATAAATGAGTGGTTAAAATTTTGTGATTTTTCCCTTGAAATTTCAGGATTAATTCTCTACCAATGCGTTAACTATAAAAATACAAATTTTCCCATCAATGAACGATTCTCGTATCGCCTCCTCGATGTAAAAAAATTCCAAACTGAAGCATATCAAGACAAATGTTTCCGCCAGCCGCTTTGAACCGGTGAAAAAAACCGGTTGATACCCAAACAAGAATAAACGAACTTGAAAAAAAAGTGGAAATATCATTAGAGTGGAGTACCCTTTCATTTCTATGAAGAACTACCAGTGTTCACACACACGCTTTGGTAAACAAGTGGGTGCCCATGAGCAACAACATTGTATAATTCCAGTGTACTCGGGCTGTCCAATCAATGCTGCCACTAACCATCACTAGCTATTCGCGTCGACCTACATTGTACATTTATTATTGCGAGTTTGCAACAGTGAAACTAAAAACAGTATTGTGGGAATGTAAGGGAGATGGTCTTGAACCCATCTAATCGTAAACCACGATATCTCCTAATTGTGTCCCAAGCCCGAGACCGTGTAACCATCACGAATAATATACGGTCTTCTCTCTTTCTCGTACTCGACGCGCCTCGGGCCAAGTTGTTTTTCGTTTTATCGCGATTTCTCCCTTGTGGTTTTTTATCCCACTCCATCCCTCTCGCTCCACAGCAATACAATCATTGAATCTTGGGCTTCTGAATTTATCCACAAGGAGAGATCAGGAGATGCGGTAGTGTCTCCGGCCGAGGAAGAGCTCAGCAGAGTCTACCGCACTCCCATTCGGCTGGAAAGAGCTGCGCAAACTTCGATTCAAAAAAATACAATGAAAATTTTTTTTCAGAAAAAATCTCCATCGCATCTTGGTTTTGTTTGGGATTGTCTGCGTTTTCATGAAAAAAAAATTATAATTATTGATGAAGATACGAGCACGTGGACAAAAATTTTCTCAATTCACAAAGTTAGTGGACAGGTAGTGGTCACGGACACTAGAGGTGAGCGCATGTACACACATATTCGGTGGCGCTACTACGTCGGAGCCGCATACTAGTAGAGTACCAGCAATCCGAAATTTTATTTCCGTAAGATTATTTCTACGATAAAAAAAATTCTACAATTCGAACGGCTGACTTTAAAACGAATTAACGGACTTAATAAAATTATTCAATGGGCGTTTAAAAAAAGAGTGGGATCACACGAAAAAACAGATCGCGGATCTGTTTAAAAGACAACGGCTGAGTGATCGCTAAATTTGGAAAAAGGGTGAGAAATCAAGGGGCCCTATAAGCAAATGCATTCGAAGGTCAATAAATATTGAAAATAAACAATAATAACAACACTCGGCTGCATCCATCCTTCCCTTCTCACCAGAGTGTACCCTTTTTCCAAATTTAGCGATCACTCGGCCACTGTTTTTTAAACAGATCCACGATCTGTTTTTTTTTCATGTGATAAAATATTGAGACAGTCATGACCTTCCCACCAGTGCACATACTGCCCCTTCGATTCCATATTACAAGACCACTGGCATTTGGTATTTATGTGCACTTGAAGGTTAATATTGTTTCAATAATTAGAAAAAATCCAACAAAAATTCTTTGAAACTCGTAAGTGATGAGAAAAAAATGAATCGATCTGACAAAAAAATTATTATGAAGAAATGTTCAAATGCACAGGGAAACAGTTCAGGGATTGAATTATGGCTCCAGAACAATGAGACTCCAGTAATTTCATACTGAATATTCATGTTCCGATTGAAAATTCAATTAAACTGACTTTCATTCAATGCAATTGATTCAATTCATTTAAACTTGAATTTCATTCAATCTTCAATGAAAGTTCCAAATTTTATAGAAAAATAAGTGAGAACGGTAAATTTAAATCCCATTAATCCACGAAAATGAATAGAAATCAATAATTAATAGAAATCCGTAATTCTTCATTTTTCTAAAAAATCTAGTCATAAAACTTCTTATTTGAAAAAAAAAATGTGAACGAGTATTGATCCAGTCACTTCGAAAAGCGGAACAGGAATTAATCAAAGATTCAAAATTATTCATCAATTATTGACTTATCATTCATCTCCGTAATGCATTTATGACCGTATGAAATTCAACACATTTGAAATTTAAACAAAGAAAAGGAAGCGTCTCCTAAGCAAATGAGGTGATAGATCTGCACGCGCGTCCGGTCTAGTCACAGCAAAATCTACAATATAGAATATTCCCACGTGGTATATTTTCCAAGAAAAAATATTGAGATCCTGTAAGGAGTATTTTCACGGGGATGCGAGTCTGGCAATTTAATAGTAGTAGGAGGTTAGTACTAGTACCCCCGTTCGCTCTGCTCACCAACGCCCATAATCCTTAATCTGACCCTCATGACCCTTATTCCAACCCTCGTAACCCTTATTTTAACCCTCGTTAAAATAAGCCTTTATTCGGATCCTTATGACCCTGATTCTGACCCTCATAACCCTTATGACTCTTCTGACCCTTATGACTATTATTGTGACCCTCGTGGCCCTTAATTGTGGAGTCTTAATTTCGTGTACCAAATTTTCATCACCACGAGTCGATCTGAATTTTTATAATATAGAATGATATTTCGATACGAGTGAGACGGAATTTTTACGAGGGTGAAGTTGGCTTCGTTTACGTTACGTTTACGAGTCAACGAAAAGGCACTTTTCGGCACGAGGTGAACGTAGCAGCCGTGTCAAAATAGTATATTTCGTTACGAGTGCGGAAAAGAGCTTTTTTGGCTCGTGGGATTATATCACTCGCCTTCGGCTCGTGGTATAAACCTCCCGCGAGCCAAAAAACACTTTCCACGAGTATCGAACGATATTTTTCATCACAATGTGTGGAGTTTAAAAAAAAAAGTTACTTTTTCGCACAGCGTGATGAAAAATATAGTTCGACACAGTCATGTGTGACGGGGATTTTTCAGCTCATGTAATTGGCAGTCCTCGGCTTCGCCTCGAACTTCACACTCGTGAAAAATTCGTCGCACTTGTATCGAAATATACAATTTCATCACACTGCCCGTAAAACGTCGTTTTACGGACACTGTGAGGAAAAATTCTGTTCGTCACTCGGCCGAAAGCAACCTCTCTGACTCGTGTGATTATTCCGCGACCTCGCCTCGGTCAGCACCCCTCACACTCGTCAGAAAAGATTTTTCGTGTCGAGGGACCTGAAAAACCCCATTTTCCTGGCGCTGCGCGCCACAAAATTGGCGTTTTGCAGGTCCCTCGACACGAAATAATATATTTCGTAACGAGTGCAAAAAAGTGTTTTTTGGCGAGTGGGAGGTTTATATCACGAGCCGAAGGCAAGTGATATAATCCCACGAGCTAAAAAACATTTTTTCACGAGTTACGAACAATATTTTTCATCACAATGTGGCGGAAATTGGACTTTTAGGCACGCGGAGCGTGCCGAAAAGTTCACTTTTCGTCACAGCGTGATGAAAAATAATTTACCCACCCGCCATGGAAAACACATCACCCTCCCCCACGTGCTTGCCATCCTCACCTTCGGCTCGGAAGGCAATCTTGCACGTGGGGGACGGTGATCTGTTTTCCAAGGCTCGGGCATGTAATGTACCATTTCGTTAACCTCGTATCGAGCGAAGCGACGTTAAAATCGCGGTTTTCGGGCCTAATGACAAAAAATATTGTTCGACACACGGCCGTGGGAACTTTTCTCCCTCATATGATAACAGAACTCTCCTTCGGCTCATCCTGTAACCTCATATTCACCGGAAAAGTTCCTCACGGCCTAGTGTCGAAATGTACTATTTTCGGCCTCGTCACGAAAATAGCCATTTCAATGTGCGCAAAGAAAATCCAAAGTCTTACCCTCAAAAACCTCCTGGAGTTCCTCACAACCCGTTCTCCCGGGCGCATCCCCAGGTGCCCATGCTCCTCACCTCGCAAAACCAGGGAGCAAACGCAGAGGAGATCGACCAGCGTCTCGTTCTGCCTCCCCGCGTCTCAATCCTCAAACTCACCAAGTCTCCCAATACCGATCAAACTCATCGATCCCCAGTCCCCGCCGATCAGAACATCCCCCCACTCGCCCCTCCCTTCCCCCTCTCGCCAATCACCCAACTCGCACTCTCAAATCCTCCGAAAAAATGGAAAATATATCGGATAACCCACGTGCAGAGGAACTCCGGCGCAGCGAGAAAACGCGCTCGCGCCTGTCACGTGGAACACGCACGGCTAAACCAAGCAGGAAGTCACCGCCCCCCGGAAGTTAAGGTCCAACCCCCCCGGTTACCAGCACTTTACATGCGCGTACACCGTTTACGCACATAAACCCCGGGTTACCAGGTTCCCTTTTGTCGACCAATTGTTGAATTTCTCGTTTTCTCAATTTTTCCTTTATATTTTTTATTTCATCGTCACTGGCGCCTTCGACGCACTAATGACTACTCTCCACTATTTTCACCCTTCACCAGCGTATACCATCCACCTATACCTCTTTAATAACAATCGGTAACAATCGTCACGAGAGCTGTACGAATAATAACAACCGCTCACGGGTGTGACCGTGAGGCTTGAAGGTACACACACGAAACCACCAGTGTTTTACGACTTTGTGTCATTTAAACACTGATAACAATCACATCAGAACTACTCTGTTGTCGCTCTATTGTATGTAAACACATGTGTTGTTATGGTTCACAGGCACGTGGAAAAATTCCCGGAATTAACGGTTTAAATTGTTCTTTATTTCTTTGTCGATACGGAGAGGAAAAAAGTATTCGCGACGCGCGGCACAACCTCGCCAGCATGCAGTCGGTAACTCACTGAGAGGACTGGCACATTGACGGAGTGCATGCGGCAGCGCGACCGCGTTGGGGGGGGGGAGGGGAGTGGGGAAGGCCGTGAGTGTTGAGTTGGATAGGGCCGCGGGGTGGGGTCTGTCGCCGCTCTCGCGGAAAAGGTTTTGTCCGGCAAAAGGGCGGGCGAGGGTGGACGGCGTGACGATCGGAGGGGGGGATCTTCTCGAGGGGGAAGGGGTGAGGGGTATTTGAGGTTTACGATTGAATCCAGACGACGATCGACGACAAATTGTGTCATTATTTTTGTTGGTGTGAGCGAATGGAGAACAGGGAACAGTTTTTTAGTTCAATTAGGGGTGGGGGCGAGGGGGGGGG